GATCTCTTGGTTATTTAGTAACATATTGTTAGGCTCCATGTGTTTGTGTTTTTTACGTTTTTTTTCCCCCTGAAATTGATTTCTAATCTTATAGTGTTGTGGTCAGAAAAGATGCTTGATATGATTTCAATTTTCTTAAATTAACTGAGGCTAGACTTGTGACCCAAGATGTGATGTGTCCTGGAGAATGTTCCATGCGCACTTGAGAGGAAAGTGTAATCTGCTGTTTTTGGATGGAATGTCTTATAAATATCAATTAAATCTATCTCGTCTATTGTGTCATTTAAAGCTGTGTTTCTTTATTAATTTTCTATTTGGATAATCTGTTGATTGGTGTAAGTGAGGTGTTAAAGTCCCCCACTATTATTGTGTTATTGTGGATTTCCTCTTTTAGAGCTGTTAGCAATTGCCTTATGTATTGAGGTGCTCCTATTTTGGGTGCATATATAATTGTTATATCTTCTTGGATTGATCCCTTGATCATTATGTACTGTCCTTCCTTGTCTCTTGTAACATTCTTTATTTTAAAGACTATTTTATCTAATATGAGTATTGCTACTCCAGCTTTCTTTTGATTTACATTTTCATGGAATATCTTTTTCCATCCCCTCACTTTCAGTCTGTATGTGTCCCTAGGTATGAAGTGGGTCTCTTGTAGACAGCATATATATGGGTCTTCTTTTTGTATCCATTCAGCAAGCCTGTGTCTTTTGGTTGGAGCATTTAGTCCATTCACCTTTAAGGTTATTAGTGATATGTATGTTCCTATTACCATTTTCTTAATTGTTTTGGATTTGTTTTTATAGGTCCTTTTCTTCTCTTGTGTTCCCCACTTAGAGAAGTTCCTTTAGCACTTGTTGTAGAGCTGGTTTGGTGGTGCTGAATTCTCTTAGCTTTTGCTTGTCTGTAAAGCTTTTGATTTCTCCATCGAATCTGAATGAGAGCCTTGCTGAGTAGAGTAATCTTGGTTGTAGGTTCTTCCCTTTCATCACTTTAAGTATATCATGCCACTCCCTTCTGTCTTGTAGAGTTTCTGCTGAGAAATCAGCTGTTAACCTTATGGGAGTTCCCTTGTATATTATTTGTCATTTTTCCCTTGCTGCTTTCAATAATTTTTCTTTAATTTTTGCCAAATTGATTACTGTTTCTTGGCCTGTTTCTCCCTGGGTTTATCCTGTATGGGACTCTCTGCATTTCCTGGACTTGGGTGGCTATTTCCTTTCCTATGTTAGAGAAGTTTTCGACTATAATCTCTTCAAATATTTTCTCGGGTCTGTTCTCTCTCTCTTCTCCTTCTGGGACCCCTGTAATGTGAATGTCATTGCGTTTAATGTTGTCCCAGGGTCTCTTAGGCTGTCTTCATTTCTTTTCATTCTTTTTTCTTTATTCTGGTTTGCGGCAGTGATTTTCACCATTCTGTCTTCCAGATCACTTATCCGCTCTTCTGCCTCAGTTATTCTGCTATTGATTCCTTCTAGTGTTTTTTTCATTTCAGTTATTGTACTGTTTATCTCTGTTTATTTGTTCTTTAATTCTTCTAGGTCTTTGTTAATCATTTCTTGCATCTTCTCAATCTTTGCCTCCGTTCTTTATCCGAGGTCCTGGATCATCTTCACTATCATTCTGAATTCTTTTTCTGGAAGGTGGCCTATCTCCACTTCATTTAGTTGTTTTTCTGGGGTTTTATTTTGTTCTCTGGTACATAGCCCTCTGCCTTTTCATCTTGTCTGTCTTTCTGTGAATGTGGTTTTCCCCCACAGGCTGCAGGATTGTAGTTCTTCTTGCTTCTGCTGTCTGCCCTCTCTGCTCTTCTCTTTATGATTTCTTTCCTTCTACTAACTTTGGGTTTTGTTTGTTCTTCTCTAGTTGCTTTAGGTGTAAGGTTAGCTTTTTTATTTGGGATTTTTCCTGTTTCCTAAGATTGTATTGCTATAAACGTCCCTCTTAGAACTGCTTTTTCTGCATCCTGTAGATTTTGGATCGTTGTACTTTTGTTTTCATTTGTCTCTAGGTATTTTTGATTTCCTCTTTGATTTCTTCAGTGATCCATTGGTTGTTTAGTAGCATATTGTTTAGCCTCCAGCTGTTTGTGTTTTTTACAGTTTTTTCTTGTCATCAATTTCTAATCTCATAGTGTTGTGGGCAGAAAAGATACTTGATACTGTTTCAGTTTTCTTAAATGTACCGAGGCTTGCTTTGTGGCCCAGCATGTGATCAGTCCTGGAGAATGTTCCACGTGCACTTGAGAGGAATGTGTATACTGCCGTTTTTGGATGGAATGCTCTGTAAATATCAGTTAAATCCATCTGGTCTAATGTGTCATTTAAGGCCTGTGTTTCCTTATTGATTTTCTGTCTGAATGGTCCATTGATGAAAGTGGGGTGTTAAATTCCCCCACTATTATTATGTTATATATATTCATTCATTATATATAATTAGCCAAACCCATTAGTGCTAACATTTCTTGGTTGTGTCTAAACAATCAAATGTTCTCCTTTGACTGAGACGCCTTAATGATCATTCTGTGAGACTCATGAGTCAGTCACATCAACTTCTGCTTTGACCTTTTTTCCATCTATTCTAAGAGATTGACAGTTTCTCATACCTTCAGTTGCCTCACTTGCCAGTCCTTTTGCACATATCTCAGTAGTTAAATGTAACACAGCTTCATCTATTTTGGGGTATCCTCCATTCTTAGGTTCCAAAAAGCTCAGGTGTTGCTTTTCTATGAAATATGGGTTTGTGGCCATTTCTCTGACAAACACTTATTTCACAAATATTAAAGTTATGTCCTGCTTCTGTTTCCCGGCCTTTCTATACGCATAATAACTTCTTATTGTAATGAGAAGCATAGTGTTATCTTAATAGAAACATTTTAAGTGGCAAACAATATATGTAATACCAACAGTGCACGTAAGTCAATTGAAGAGAAAACAATATATGTAAATATCAACAGCTATAACAGTATTTGTGTGTGTGCAAGCAGTGGTAGCTATATCAAGACTGCCAGCTGGTCAGCCGCTACTGTAAAACACCTTCAGTTGTAAGACACATCTCAATTTATAAGCTAAAATGTGGAAGAAATGTGGTCTTAGGATTAGGCTGCCCTTCCTTCCTTCCTGTAATCTTTCCTGACTGTCCCTTTGCCAGGGTTGGGACCCACAGATCAACAAGTAATGGGCTTACAGTCTTGTGGGAAGACAGACAACTAGACAAGTCTTTCTACTAGTGGGCAATAAGGGCTATGATAGGAGAAGTGGAAGGTACCAGGAGAACAAAAAGAAGAGAGCCCACCCAGAAGTAGCACTCTTCTGGCTGGGTAATGAAGGAGGTAAGTAGTTAGGCAGTGATGAAAGAGGGCCTATCAGACGGCAAGTGTACTGGAAGGTAGGAGGAACAACATATGCCTGAGCTTGATAGGGCATGGCAGAGTTGAGGAATGGAAAGTGTTTCTGTGTGAATGGAACTTAGTGTGGTGGAGAGAACGTAAATGACATGATCAGATTTGCAACTGAGGTAAAATACCTGATGTCCAGGGCCGAGCAATAATCAAACCAAGATGGGATCATAATTCTGTGACGAGGTTTAATTAAGCCAGAAGTCTCCCATGTTTTTTGATATAGCAGGGTTTGAGCCCAGGGTACTGGGAAGTAGGTAAAAGGTCACAGCTGTTGGTAAGTGGGTGGTTGAGAAGAGCCTCTTATGAGTGCTCAAAGAGGTTTGCAGGCTTGCCAGCTACCTCCTCTGTGTAAGTTGGGACTTTAAATTTTGCTGAAGAATGCTGAGTAGCCAGATATATGTGGCATTGCCTGTAACATTGAAGTACACACTGAAGGGTTTGGAGTCATTGGTCAAAGAGATTTTCTCAAGCCTTTGAGAGGCATCATGCACACATGGGAAGGTGATTTGTCCCTGTCCGGACACTCTGTCAAGTGATATCTTCTAAGAAGTACAGTGCTTCTTTTAAATGCTGTGTCTAATGCATGATATGGAACAGCATGGAAGTCCCTGGCTGTATTTTGTAGGTGAAACTCCATACCTCTTATCAAGTATTGCAGTGACCAGCCATTTTAAATAGGCTCACCAGAGCTGTATTTTTAAATGACCAGGTACGTGATATCTGAATACCTGAAAGAGGAGACTTCTATGATTCGCAAAGGCTTAGGGTGGTCCAAGAGCTATAAGATTTTTCAGGCTTCTGACTTCACCAAAGTGTCAGTCCTTTAATGGGCTGCTCCGTTGCTTGGGCACAATGTTCCTCTTTCCCCATTAAACTTGATCCTCCTCCATTGAGTCTACCTCAGTTACCAAAGTCATACTGTGTCTTCCTTCACTCTTCTTAATCACCCTCTCTGTTCAACCACATCCTCACCTCTTATTGATTGGGTCTACCGACTTCATTATCTCCTGCAACCATCTTGTTGTCTCCATTCCTACTGCGGCCAAGCTAGACCACACCAAGAAATCTTGTAATTCACTCATTGTTCTTTTTGGTAATGGACAGAAACTTGGGTTCTTAATGATATCCAAGGGCTTATAAATGGTAATTTATCAAACAGGTTATCATTTAAAGGACAGTGAAGGTCTCTGAGTCTTGAAACATTAAAATGGGGAAACAGAACTAAATAATAAATAAGTTAATAAAAAGCAACAAACATAAGCATAGCATTTTGTTTCCCTAGAAAAGGAAACTATTTATTCAACTAATATTTACTGAGTACCAAATATATATATCAGGCACTTTATAGGCATGGGAAATATAGCAGTGAACAAGACAGACAAAATCCTTGTGCCAATGGATATGATACTGTGGCAGGGGACGTAGACAATTTGTTTTCAGAAATCAATCCAAAGACAAAAAAAAAAAAAAAAAAGGATGAAACACTAAAATTTCTAAATTGTTGTTTTAAATTCTAGCAAAAGCTACTTATTCAAAATGTTTAAATGTTAATTCATAAAGAAGCCACAACTGGCAATAATTCAATTGTCATTTTTTCTAGATATAATAAAATGCAAAAGAGACAGAAGTCCCTCCAGTCCTCAGCAATGTCCACGTTGCATGAACCCCAGGACCTCTAAAGGCAGGCCCTTAGTTATGGTCCCAGCTGCAGCTTTCCTGTGTGCCAAGCCGACCATTGACCCCTCCCTGAAACTGAAGAGCCTGACTATTCTGGAACATAGTGTTTCTGTGTCCATCTCTCCCCAAGATTTCATGGCACCCTTCGGCTCCCTGACTTTGAATATGACAGACCAGTCTGGAAATGGAGCTAACATGATCTGCAGTGTTCAAAAGCCCTCAACAACATCATCCACTGCATTCACTGCAGAAAATGACTATATCATGCTAAACGCATCATTTTCAACATTTCTGGTGTGTAACATAGATTACAGTCACATTCAGCCAGTGTGGAAAGTGCTGGCTTTGTACAGTGACTCTCCTCTGATCCTAGAAAGGAGCCACTTGCTCACTGAAACACCACAACTCTGCTACAAATATAAACAGGTGGTACTGAAGCCTGAAGACATCTTTACCAACATCGAGGCTGATCTCAGAGCAGATCCCTCTTGGTTAATGCAAGACCAAATTTCCTTGCAGCTAAACAGAACTGCCACCACGCTCAGTACGCTGCAGATCCAGTACTCCAGCGATGCCCAAGTCACTTTACCAAGGGCAGAGAAGAAGCCAGAGAAACACAAATGGACCATGATTTCCAGGGATAACAATACTAAGCGGGAACGCACTGTTTTGGTCGGTGGGACCATTGACCTAGATTGCCCCAGCCAAGGAGACCCTCCCCCACAACTGGAGTGGCTTCTAGCTGATGGAAGTAAAGTGAGAGCCCCTTACGTTAGTGAGGATGGACGAATCCTGATAGACAAAAGTGGAAAACTGGAACTCCAGATGGCAGATAGTTTTGACACAGGCATATACCACTGCATAAGCACCAATTACGATGACGCAGATATTCTCACCTATAGGATTACGGTGGTAGAGCCCTACATAGAAGCTTATCAGGAAAATGGAGCTCGTCATATAGTTTCCATTGGTGAAACACTTGACCTTCCATGCCATTCTACGGGTATCCCAGATGCCTCTGTCAGCTGGGTTCTTCCAGGAAACACTGTGCTCCATCAGTCCTCAAGAGATAAGCAAATTCTTAACAATGGCACGTTAAGAATATTACAGGTGACTCAAAAAGACCAGGGTCATTATCGTTGTGTAGCAGCCAACCCATCAGGGATCGATTTTTTAATTAACAAAGTTTCAGTCAAAATAAAAGGGCAACAGCCAGTGGAGCATAATGTAGAAACCGATGGATCTGGGTTTGATGAGCTCAATGCCATTGCTCAGCTTAAGGACCCACCAGCTGCACAACTCCTCACATCTGCTCCAGTGAGGGCTGAGGCTGGAAAACAAGTCTCAGTCACAAGTAAGAATCCTAAGCATGGGGTGTTAATAGCCCAGCGGCATGGAGATGCAACCAACCAACGTTTTGGAGAGCACAGGAGGCAGTTCCCTCCCTCTGCCCGGAGAATTGACCCACAACACTGGGCAGCATTACTGGAGAAAGCTAAAAAGAATATTATACCAGAGAAGCGAGAAAATATCATAACAAAGCCACCTCCACTGGTCACCCAACTCCTGGAAATACCTGGTGAGGAAGTAGACTCATCAGGCATGCTCCCTCCAGATGAGGAATTTATGGTCCTGGCAACTAAAGCTCCCAGTGTTCTGGCAAGGACAGTGACTGCTGATTCCAGAAAATCATCTGATATCCCTGTGACAAGTATAGCTGCTGGCACCAAAGTCTCCCCAGTTGTGAGTCCACAGATACTACTGCCTGAAAAACCAAGAGGTTTCAAACCATCTACTACTATTAAAACTAAAGCCATGTCAAAGAACATGAATGCAACCACATCAAGCAAAATGCAAGGCACAACCAGCCGAAATTTATCTACTATCTTTCCTCTACTACCTGAAGCAAGTCAATTTCAGGATGCTGAGGACATGGAGAGAAAAAGAGAGCACTGGCAAAGTGCACCCCCAGTAACAGTGGGGGCTACTACAATCAAAGATGTCCATATCAAAATTCTGGGCAGTGCTAACAGTAAAGCTGATGTATTTTTAGGATCAGTAAATGCCACGAGTAGTCATCAGACGTCTGTAATAGGAGTCAGCAAACCCTGGAGCCGTCATTCCCATTCTCATGTTACTCAAAAACTTAACACTTCTAAGCTCCCTTCAGACCCTTACACTGGTAAGGCTCATTCTCAGTTACACATTCCTAGAAATAGTACAATTAACACTGCACTGTCCAGACACTTTGCAAGACGGAGGAAAATTTGGAGCAGGGGGCAAACTCCAATTTTCCGACAGCACGGATACAACTTTGTGAGGCCAACACTCAGAGGTTCTTCTGTAGGAAGAACCACTGCATTTTTAGCCACAGAGCACAATGTGGAATGCCCATCCTGTTCTCCCAGAGAAAGGCTCACCACTGCTGCAGCAGCATTGCCTTTTCCAAGGTCTTCCCCCATCACCCTCCCTGAAGCTAAAATTGCCAGAGTCATAGCAGAAGAATCTACAACTCTAGTCCACAATCCATCATTGCTATTTGAGAAAAAACCAAATGTAGATGTTGAGAAAACAGCACCGACAATAAAATATTTCAGTGCTGAAAGTACCCAAGTGACTCCAACTTGTGCAGTTATGACTCATGCAACACATATTAGTTACCCAAGCATGTCTAAAGCCAGTGAAGCTAAAAGAGATTCAGTGATTGTATCGCCACTTCCAGGTCCCACCATCAAGCCACCTATGCCTACTACTATAGCCATTACAAGACTTTCAAGAAGGAAAATTCCCTGGCATCATATCTTTGTAAATAACCATATCCAAAAAGAAAAGCTAAAGAATCAGCAAAAATTTGGTTCACAAAAAAGCACAGACTTGGTTTTTCCTAAAATATCTCCTGCTTTACCCACAGATAAACTTTCCCCCTTCCATTTCACAACACTCTCAGCAAGTGTGATGCAAATCCCATCCGTAACATCAGCTAAAACTCACCACAGTGCCACTAGAACACACAGTCGTATAAGTCTCCCAACAATGAAGGAGCTGCCCTTCCCACCTGTTTACCCTACACCTCCTAGTAGCTCAAGCAAAGAATCAAGTACAGATTTCATATCACTGCAAACAGCCATGCTGACAACTACTCCTACTGCCCCTGCATCTATCATTATCAACAAAGCCCAAATAGGCAGACCCAGGGCACGAAAAGTACAAAGAATAAAGGAGACTCAAAAGAATAGGAATGACCCAAATAACTCTCCCAGCCAGATTTCTGGCTTCATTACACCCACCACTGTGACACTTCCTGTTCTAACAGCAGCTGAAACTTCAACCAAACCCAGTGTGTCTGCTCTCACTCATTCTCTTCTAGAAAACATAAAAGAAATTTCAAGCACAATTGGTCTTCATCCAAGAACCTTTCATCTGACAGATGTACTTGAAAAGCCACCCCAGAAGAGTAGTCAGACTTTGAAGAGCACAGCTGCTTCTGAAACCACTTTGTCCAGCAAACGACACCAGAGTACCACCACTAGGAACAGAATCCTTAGACACTCAACTGTGCCACCCTTCCTGAGCGCCAGTGCCACTCCAATGCCAATTCCCACCTCCCCTCCCTTGAGTAACCAAAGTGCAGTTGCTGACAATATGGCAACTCCCATTTTCAGGATGATGACAAGTACAATGGTCAAGTCACATGAATCCTCAAAGCACAATGCTCATCCACAGCAATTAGAAGTAACATCTCCCCAAACTCACCCAAATGCCAAGTTCACAATTGGAATCACCCACTTTATCTACTCCAATCTGTTACGTTCTACTTCTGTGCCAGCACTAATAACAGCTAAATCGCAGAATTCTAAGTTGACGCCCTCTCCCTGGTCAGAAAACCACTTTTGGCACAAATCACACCCAGAAACGGCTGAAAAGGTCAAAAAGCCAGTAGTGAGCATACTGCCCACTCCAGATCTGCCAGAGGACACCACTCATGCTTCAAATTGGGATATACAGAAGAATGCAAAGAAAAGTAGCTTCAATAAGACACCAATTCAAAAAATAACAACTTCCAAATTCCTTCCCTTTGATTCTTTATCTAGGAATATATTTGAAAGGCCCAGAATAGTTGGAGGAAGAGCAGCAAGTTTTA